GTGAATTACGCACATCATTCTGGGCATCGAGAGGCTTATAAAGAAGGCTGCTGTTTCGAACCGAACCAGAAAGCACATTTTCTTTATTAAGTCTCTCGAAAGTGTAGCCTGGTTGGCGTTAAAAAACAAGATGTCTACGAGGGGTTATACTGAAAAGATCGTAGGCTGACTATGAAGGAATGATGCGGAAACTGTAAAATTTTGTATGAAGGTAAACTGATATTTGACAGTTCAAAGAAGACTTAAAATGTAACTAATAGCGACTTCTATTGAAAATGGACACAATGTTGGCATTATGGTGTTATTAATTCCCAGCAGAAAAAGGATAAAGGTGGGACCACCGGCAGACTTTACCCTAAAATCTTGGACGTCGGTTCAACCCCTTTCAAAGAACAAATTTACTATAAATGCGCAGGACGATAGACGTAATAAACACTGTTTAATGAATAGAAATGGAGCATCTATTTCAAATACGAAATGTCCACTATAGTACGGTTTGAAGTAATATATATATATATATATATATATATATATATATATATATATTAGGTATATATATATATATATATATATATATATATATATATATATATATATATATATATTAGGTATACATATATTAGTTATATGTATATATATATATTAGTTATATATGTGTGTGTGTGTGTGTGTGTGTGTAAAATGTAAAATAAGCTATAAATAAATACTTTTTTTACTTTTAGGAAAAAATATAAATGAATTTTACAAGAATTATTATGTTTGATATATATATATATATATATATATATATATATATATATATATATATATATATATATATATATATATAAATGTGATTATAACGAAAATAATATAACTTCAAAAGGTTCACAGCATTAATACAAAAGAGGGCTCAATACCAAGCGTAGATCAATAATTATTTATTATAGATTTTTTTGTACGCATGTAAAAATCGATCATGAATATATATATATATATATATATGTGTGTGTGTGTGTGTGTATGTGTGTGTGTTTCTGTATAGTTGGGTAGCAGTCCAATATTTATGTAAGTTTCATTAAAAACGACTGGCAATGTGCTGTGTTTTTCTTATTATTCTTATAAATTATATAAAAATTGTCCAACTGTTTATATATTCGAGCGATTTTGGCTATACTTTTAATCATTATCTAGGATGAATTTTATTTTACTTTTAACTGAATATATCGATTGTTTTATCTATGTATTTAGAGTTATAGGAATGTCAGTCGTTTTAACGATATATATATATATATATATATATATATATATATATATATATATGATTAAATTTGAAATTCAAATAACTTTAGTGCAGAAACGTACAAAACAAGTTTTTTTTTACTCGTTTCCAGTGGCTTCGGCCACCTGCTTCACTCACTTGTGGGTTGAACATAGTTTTCTTTTGAGCCCCCAAAGGCAGGTTTCGTTCGGGGTCGATCGGGACTCGAGCAACAACCAATTATTTATTAAAAAAACTCTCTTATTGTGTTTACTGACCGACTTTGGGGAAAAAAAGACCGAGTGAAGTGAAGAAGGAGACAATCGCCTGACAGTGCGTTCAAGGCCGGGGAAAGAAAAAGAAGAAAAGGAATGTAATACTGGCGTGTGTATACACGCGTGTACACACGTACTCACAGACGTATACACGCGTACACCTATGTACACATATAAATACATATACACGCGTACACCTATACACATATAAATACATCCAAAACATAAGTAATCCCCCTCACACACACACGCACTCACACGAATTCAAACAGGTACTCAGACATACGTACACGTACGTGGATATAAATCTATGTGGAGAGATGACGATCAGTTATGTGCTATGCGTGATACACGCTTAGGCGATCATGCATTTTTCGATACATGACTGACGAGGCAAATTTTTTCCAGCAGTAGGTTGCCATTTCTTTCTACGGTAGGCTAGTTGCCATCCAAGGCTAAAGAACTCAGTCTGTCCTGCTATTTATCCATAGCTGTGGTGAGAAGAAGAGGATTCATACCTTTCCCAAGGGTATTAGCACGTAAGTGAATGTAATGGATTCGACTGGAATTCGAACTCGGCTCTCTGATTCATCAATCCGAGCCGCTATCTATTACACGTGGTCTTTTTGCCAAACTTTAAAATGTCGTAGGGATTTCCGTCGCACTATCTATCTATCTATCTATCTATCTATCTATCTATCTATCTATCTATCTGGTTTACGGCCATATCACGTTGAAACAAAAGTACAATCACCGCTTAGTTTGTACCTACCTTTCTATCTGTCTATCGATCTATCATTCTGTTTATATCTATCTATCTATCTATCTATATAGATGGTTTACGGTCATAACACGTTGAAACAAAAGTACGATCACCGCTTGGTTAGTGCCTACATGGGTGTTCTCTTGAAAATATCAGCAGCTGTAAGCTTGGATGTGCCGAGGGTGTGATGGATAACGGTTTGGAAAATCGGGGAGCCGAGTTCGAATTCCAGTCGGGTTCATCATATTCACTTACGCAAAAAGGAAAAGAATGAATCCACCTCCATGAATGTAATGAATTCGACTGGAATTCGAACTCGGCTCTCCGAGTTGCATTATAACTGACTGACAAGGTCAGCTAGCAAATCTCTGTTACAGTCGCCTGCACAGGCACATTTGTTTCTGTTCAACACGGGACCGACCTGTAGTTTATTATGCATCTGTACTGAACGAACCCTGGTTATAGTTTCTGTGAGAAAGCTCCTTTAACAGTCTGGACAAGGGCCGTACACTCAAACCCTTGGTCACAATGTTTTTTGTGACTTTATGCTAGCACAATAATCGACGGCTCACAAATCATTTGAAGCAGGGTTTCATGGTTGAAAAGCGGATGTTCTAACCATTCGACCACAGCTAACGCAATAAAATGTCTTAATTCTACAATATTGTTTGCAATATTATTGATAACTTTGTGTGAGGAAACCCGACCACCATTATCCCTACACTCCCACGCATAAATATAAGTCCTATCAAAATTAATATCTTTTCTATACCTTTCAATATTTCTTCCTATTTAGTTTGCAAAGGCAATAAAATGATGTTTAATTGTACACTATTACTTAAATTCACTACGTAACATTGGAAAGGTTGCTACTCTAACACGGAGTGAAACGCGCACACAACAAATATGAACAGAAAGTCGAGATGTAAGCCTGACATTTAAATGTAAGATAATGTATATCAATTAAACTAACCGCAAATCCATGTGGATATTAATTCAGTAGAAATTCAAGTAAATACGAGAAATTATCATCGCCATCTTATCGTCTTACCGTATGTTCGGATCCTACTCGAGGCTGATTCATTCGACATGTGTTTAAGGACGAATTGATATCGACATAAAAAAATTTTAAAAATTATCTCACATTAACTTTCAAGTAAACAGTAACTGATATTAATCTAATAAAATCAATAATATATATATATATATATATATATATATATATATATTAATATATATATATATATATATATATATATATATATATATATATATATATATATATATACATCTGAATATACATATATATATAATTATGTTTTATAAAAAATTATAACATAAGTATGTTATAAAATCACTACAAAAATAGCCATTTTGTTTCAACACACTCTGTGTCTTATCAAGTGATGATGTTGAAAATAAAATAAATGGTTTTATATATATATATATATATATATATATATATATATATATATATATATATATTCAGAAGTCTATATATGTATTCTGATAAAGACGACTATTGATATACGTAAGATTATATAATGTAACATATGTCAAGGTGATTAGGATTTTCGACAAAACGTGCTCAATAATTATCCCGAGCATTAATTATTCTATCAAAAATATCAAATAATAGATTTTTTAATATATATATATATATTTGTGTACACACATATACATATACATAAATAATAAATATACATTTTTCTCACTGTCAGCAGAACTCTTAGCTTCATGCACGATACAGTCACCAGGTGCTGATAGAAATCTGCCCGTTTTAAAATTTAAATATTGATTTTTACATACCTAAGGTCATGATAGTAGAGGAGGAGTTCATTTATTTATGGGAAAAAAGTATATAAATAATATTATAAACATAATTCTAAAAAACGGAATATATATATATATATATATATATATATATATGAAATATTAAGAAAAGAAAAATCATGGCGACTTTAATGAATTTACTATCTATATTAAAAAGTCGATAAGATAATTCGAGAGGATCACAATAAAATAAATAGAAATATGTCCAGAATATTGAACGAAATATGCTTGAATGATGGTATGCTGCCTATATATATATATATATATATATATATATATGTGTGTGTGTGTGTGTGTCTGTGTATGTATGTATGTGTGTGTGTGTGTGTGTGTATTATAGTTCTGTTTAACTACATTTAACTACAAAAATTAAATGAATAGTTATTTACTCATCTGTATGTGTACGTAATCACCCACATATATGGTTGCTAATATCTCTTTATTTAGCTCATTTCAACATGAAATATACATACGTTCTTTTTATCCCACTTCATATGAACTCAAAAGGAACTTTTTTTTTAAAGTAAATATACAATTATATATATATTTCAGTTTTGTAAACTCCATCTGCTTTTATTACTACAATTACTGTTAACAATGTTTTGTTGCACGTTATTTTTTATATTTCTGGCGTTTTGTCTTTTTATTGTGGTTTCTAAATTGCTAGTACAGCTATAGCTTAATTTAACTGTGTCTTTATTAAGTATTTTATGTAATTTAGAATTTTGGGGGAAGTGATTATCAAGTAATTTGAAAAATATTTTTCCTATTTTACACTTGACCGCTAAGTTAAAAGGGGGGGTTAACCCCCCCTTTTTAACTTAGCGGTCAAGTGTGAAATAATATTTTTTCCATCGAAAATTCCATTTGTTGTTTTATATGCGGTTTAAATTCCAGTTTGGTTTTATGTCTCTCTTCTTTTAAAGTCCTTCGATATTCTTTTAATCTTCGGAAATTATTTTACGAGAAGAATTTCTAGATAATCTGAATTCTATTCCTTTGGGGATTTGGTTTATTATACTCGCAGAATGATTGGATCTAAGATTCACGTATTTTACTTCTGTGTTGGGTTTCATATATGGGAGACACTGCCAGTTTGTAGATTTAATTCTACATCCAAATATTTGAACATTTTCTTATCCATATCGATTTCTATTTGAAAGTCAAGGCTTTTGAAGAGTTTGAAAAGCGCTTTTCTTATATTGTCATTTACTCTTCTGTTGTCTGGCGCTACCATCAGACCGCCATCTTTATACAGGCCGTGGTTGTTTATATGCACAATTTTGTTGTATTTCATATAAAATATGTAGGCCTATTAATTGTGACACCTCAGTACCATCAAACAAACCTAGCGAATCATCGAAGTTGTCGATTTGTTCAGGTGGTATATTTACGAAGCCTTTGGCGAAGTACAAAGCCTCAAGCAGACCTATTTTAGATATAGGTGGATAAAACTTTTTTATATCGTATTTTATAAATAGATTTTTAGATTTCTTTGTAATTTTATGGAACCAAGAAATGCACTTACCTGTATCTTTCCATTGATTGGCTTGTTTAATAGTGAATTAATACACGTAAAACATATGGTATGTTAAAGTGTACCGGTTGAGATAGTTTATGAAAGCGTAACAAAGATACCGAAAAGTTGAAACCAAGGTAGCAGAATCGGCTGAGTTCCGAATTTTCTATACTTAAAGGCTCTACATTTTAATTTATCATTTTATATGTGTATTGAGCACATTTTTAATACTACTGTTCCCTGGCCTAATTCATCTCTCTCTCTCTCTCTCTCTTTCTCTCTCTCTCTCTCTCTCTCTCTCTCTCTATCTATCTATATATATATATATATATATATATAAAAGTGAACATCGAAGTCAACAGATGCGACAGGCTGTTTCATGCTAGACGCAATCGGTGGCCTGATGATTGCGTCTAGCATGAAACAGACTGTCGCCTCTAAGTGTTGACTTCAATGTTCACTTTTATATTTACGCACGCTCTATCTCTGATATTGAGCACTTTATCCCTTAAATATAGCACACCTTAAGAATATATTTTTCATATATATATATATATATATATATATATATATATATATATATATATATATATATATATATATATATCTAGTACAGGTAACAAATCCGTCGATATATAATCCAAGTGGATCCTAGTAATATCAAATACTAAAACTGATCCACGAAAAGACCTCAATGTATTTATTATAACAAAATATAAATTACACAACAAAATCCCAAACTACATCATATGGGTGGGGTTATAAATCTATTTCAACCAACGAGAAGTACGTTAGTCTTGTTCAAACCTGACACGAACACAGTCTATACACCGGGGTTAAATAAGACTAACGTATTTCTGTTGGTTGAAATAGATCTATAACCCCTCCCATATGAGATTTTGTTGTTTAGCTAGAGGTAACCGGACATCTAGCCACACTGATGAGCTGTGATACAGCGAAACAGTCTGTCAGTGGATGACAATATACGCTCCTGAAAAATTTATTTCGGTTGAGCTCTCTGGGGGAGGGTTGTAAACAGTGACTATTACGGCTAATAATGCAATACACTTCGGCAAATCGAATCGAATTCTCTAATGTGTTTATCTAAAAATAAATACGATTAAATTCCCCTTTATCCCGGCATGGCGCCAACGGTTTAGTGGTAGAATCACCGATTGACGCCAATTCAGTCGGGTTTCGTTCCTAGCTAGAAACAACCAGACGTCTAGTCACACTGATGAGCTGTGATATATAATCCGGTGTTCTTATAGGTATTTTTATTTTTACAAAATAGTGCTCGATGTAAATTTACAGAGCATTAATATTATAAATTAATTGATTTGAAATGTTTTTTTCCGCTACACAGTTCTAACCATGTTAGAACTGTGCGGAAAAAACATATTTTAAATCAATTAATTTTAATATTATATATATATATATATATATATATATATATATATATATATATATATAACCAAATTGGTAAATGTATGAGTGCGATATCGTATACAAATACATATAAATACTCTATAGTGTAAGAAAAAACAGAGCTCACTGTTAAAGAATTATGCTATTTATTATATATATATATATATATATATATATATATATATATATATATATATATATATATAAAATACCTTACATTGATTGTGGTATGAAACTCAGTGTTGTGCAATCAATGTAAGGTATTCTATATATGTAAAATGGAATCATATTTTGTAAATAATTAATTATATATATATATATATATATATATATATATATATATAGTTGTGTTAATGGTGAGGAAAATGTATATTCATTATTAGTATAAATTTTAGCTTCGATAACGAGATTGAAGATTGAAGAGGACCGTTTTATTTCGTCCCTGATTAATATGCATCCAGTTTTAAAATGGTTATCTGATTTTCGTCGGGTTTTCTTACATATGCTTATCGTAAACCGACATTGACTGGTTTGTATGCCCGTTGAAACTCATTTTCCCTCAAAAAACGCAAAATTAATTTAATTAAAACCCTTACTCATAGGGCTTTAATGATCTGTTCTAAAACCAAGTTGGATGACGAACTCAGGTTTATTTCTATTACTCTCTGTAACAATGCCTATCCTTTGGGCATCGTTTAATCAATAATTAAGAAGAAAATTGCTGATTTCAATAAAGTTAAACAGGCTACAGTACAAAGATGTCCTGTGTATCTGCATCTTATTTGGCTGGGCAATATCAGTGATCAATATACTAAGTGATTTTCTTTGGCGGTTCGACATTGTTACTTTGCTGCTAAAACTCGTGGAGTCTTTTCTACCAAGCCTGTCCTTTCATCCATGCTAAATGACGGTCTCCCTCTACATCATAATAGTTCTTTAATCTATTCGTTTAAATGTAGTTATGGTTCACACTACATAGGGAGAACGACTCAAAGGCTGGCTGTCAGAATAAAACAACACGTTCCAACAAAGATCCGTAATCTTAAGTAGACTCCTTCAGACATTCTGACCAATACAAGTGGTTCTTCCATCGCAGAACACCTAATGAAGAGCCATAATTGTGCCGCTAATTTCACTGTGGACGCATTTACAAGCAAGTACCAGTCGAATTAACACTTGAAAATGTTGGAGGCCATTTATATTTTGTCTTTGAAACCTTTGTGCAAACAGAAGGATTTCGTACTGGGCTTCCAACTAATTTCCATCTAAGCAATATTTTTTTTTCATCTCTTTTTACTGATTATTCTATATTTATTAAACTAGATTTAGCTCTGTTGAATGAGGTTCGAAACCGGTTAACTAGCTCATTTTTCAGTTTTACCTTTTAACCCTCGAACACTAACTTATAAATTAAAGTTACACCACTACAAACCATGCGTATATCATACCCGATTTTGAAAAATATATATATATATATATATATATATATATATATATATATATATATATAAATTAGATATAAATCTTTATTTGAAATATTTTACATGCAGACACTTCAAACTTTGTACTTTGAGTTAACATTAATAGGAATTGAAAAAACATATTATTTAGGTAAGAAAATCAGGTACTAAAGATTGTAATTAAAAATAGGAAAATTTGCACTGGGTACTATATACCCAGGGTTAGTTTCTAGCGTTAATTATTACCATCAGGAATGGTAATAAATATAAATTTTGTCTTTTCATGGCTGTATATATATATATATATATATATATATATATATATATATATATGTGTGTGTGTGTAAATTTGGGGTTTTGTGATATTTACATACATATATATATATATATATATATATATATATATATATATATATATATATATACATACATATACGCTCTCTGGAATAACGACTCCAAAAAAGACAATGTTTGGACTGTTACTTGAGTTTCCTGTTACCGCAAACGTCAGGCAACCAGAACCCCTGACGATCGCTATATATATATATATATATATATATATATATATATATATATATATATATATATATATACTATAGGAATGCATTGTAAATTATTTTACTATAGGAAGGCGTTGGAAATGATTTTACTATAGGACTGCATTCTCTTCTGAATATTAATAAGATACCTATATATATATATATATATATATATATATATATATATATATATATATATATATATATATATATATATTATCTCTCACAGATAGCATGAAATTTCGAGTTGTGCTATCGATGAGGGATCCAGAGAGCTCAATGTAAATCCAGAGCAAATAATTTAGATAAAACAGATCACTTTAAGGTTACATGTAATAAGTTATTTTACCACACCTCTTTTAAAGGACTGCGGATATATATATATATATATATATATATATATATATATATATATATATATATATATATATATGACTCTAGAGTTATCTTGAAATTTGCAGTTCTAAGCGAAGAAAATTTTAAATGTAAAAATATTGTCAACGTCTATCATAAGCGTTTATACAGTAATAAAACATATATTTTGCAAGAAATTCATTCAATAACCCTTGTCTGGATCCTGAATAGCGAATAATTGGGAAACTCTGAAGCCATCTACAATACATCTCGTGACCTTTTTTTTTTTTTTTTATATTAAAATTCAATTATATATATATATATATATATATATATATATATATATATATATATATATGTATATATATATGAAATTCAATTCAATATATATATATATATATATAAATTCAATTCAATATATATATATATTTACCAAATTTTATTGCTTAACATAAAATTCAATTCAATATATAGATACATACATATATATATATATAAATTTAATATATATATATATATATATATATATATATATATATATATATATATATATAAATTCAATTCAATATATATATATATATATATATATATATATATAAATTTACCAAATTTTATTGCTTAACATAAAATACTCAACGATTTCAAAAAGCAATTTAATGGTTATACTAAGAAATACTTTTTTAAATACAAATGTAATATTGTTTTTACCATATCTTTTATGTAAGTTTTTCCATATACAAGAATCCAGTTTTCAATTCGTCCTGCGTTTGCAAGAACTATAAACAAATCACAAGGCCAAAACGCTTCAAAATTTTTAAAAAATATATGACTAGTCGTATATTGCATGCTCAAGTGTAAGAAATCCTAAGAATTTAAAAGGAAAAAAAATGAAATTTTCTTAAAAAAAATAGAACTTACCACGAAGTCGTAGAAAATTAAATTAAATTAAATAAATTTTTAAATCGTGAAGTACGATTTTTGTCGAAGTATTTTTCCAAACAATTCAGCTTATTCAAATTTCATTAATTGGTTTGCGAAATTTAACGAAACGTAGAGTTTGTAAATCAAAAATATTAAATACTGTGAGGATTGCAACACAATGACGCGTGTTGCAAAAATTTCTAGTACCAGGAAAATGCACAAACTATGTAGCATATGTAATAGAGGAAGTGTATTATATATATATATATATATATATATATATATATATATATATATATATATATATATATATATATATATATATATATATATATGAAAAAAAATGCTTATGTAATTCCAGTTTACAATGATGAGGTTGTGTGCGAGTTTTGTGGCCAATCAAGAGTAATTGCATCCCTATCTGCTGCTGGAAAGGGCACCTGCTACTATTCTATTTTTACTGTTGAACATCAGGATATATCTAAATATACTTTCGTAGTCTCAAATGTGGTTGTAGGTCAAACAAATTGATCCGTATTTTACGGCTTATCAACCCTTTTCAGATTATTTAAATCCAGAAAATGTTTTTAGATTATAAAATATTTTTTTGAGATAATAATAGTTTTAGTCTTACTAATGAATCCGTAGCTTGGAGGAGAAGGGAATGGAGACATAGTGGTTTGCGGTTCAGATTGAGGAATCGACGAGCCGAGTTCGAATTCCAGTCGAGTTAATTACATTCACTTACGCGCTAAAACTCGTGGGAAAAGTATGAATACATTTCTTCTCCCCCAGATATGGTAAAATAGCAGGACGGATTTTGTCCTATAACCTTAGTTGGAAACGAATCTAGGAGAAGGAAAGTAGCCTGAGATAGTTGAGGTCCGTCAGAATAACATGGCCAGGATCGCACTATCCTAAAGTCTGTATACATGCGGCTGGGGACCGCTTGTTAATCCAAAACTCCTACTATAGATGTACACGTTAATTCTAACGTGTATATCTATAGTAGGAGCTTTTAGATTAACAAGCGGTCCCCATATATGACCTTTGCTACGCTTGGTTAGCTTTCGTCCGGATCCGGCAGGTTTGTTTGACGGAGACGGCTCCATTGATACTGGGGGAATACTGCAATAAGTGATACAAGTCTTACTATTTAACCCGTAAATGGGGGAAGGGCAGAGAGGTGGATACATATTTTTTCCAGTAAGGGAATGTGAGGGATCCGACAGGAATTGGAACCGTTATCCATTACACCACCCACACATTCAAGCTTAGAGCATCTGGTATTCTCAGTCGGTCACCCATCTTGGTACTGACCGGGCTCTACGTTGCTTAACTTCGGTGATCGTACGGGAAACTGGTGTTTCATCGTGACGTGGCCTTAAGCGGACCAAACAGAAGAAAATAATTGTTATGACTGTTCCTGCCAAGACGTTACAAGAAAATTAACGAGAGAAAACATTTGGATTTGGTCCAGTTCTTTGCTGACCTGATGAATGTGAAGAGGCAGACTTTGTGGGATCTTTTGCTTAAACAGAGATCTGGTCAAATTATTTCGTTATGGCATAGATGCAGATAGGTTCAGCTAGCGTCCGTTTCACACTCCTCGCCGGTCTTTTGAACAGGAGTAGAGGTTTATCCCTTATTTCCTGTTCCAGGGTGGGTTTCCGGTTTCTTCTCCTAAACTCTTTTCATTCTCTTTCACTCCAAGTAGTCGCTTGCATCTTAGTGACATTATCGCCTTGATTGAAGTAAATTGATTAAAAAAACACACACACACACACACAAAGGTAATGGAGGAACTGAAGAACTCCAGATAGGTTCGCCTATCATCCGGTCCATAATCCTTCGTGATTTTTTGAACAGGAGTAGAGGTTTATCCCTATTTCCCTGTTTAAGATTGGGCTTCTGGTTCCATTTAAAGTCTGTTGCAATTCTAAACTGTTAACCTCTCCGATCAAATTTATTCACTATTTGTTTATTTTTCCTTCTCTCCAGATAGGTTCGCCTATCATCGGGTTCATAATCCTTCGTGATCTTTTGAACAGGAGTAGAGGTTTATCCCTTGTTTCCGGTTTAGAACTGTGTTTACGATTTCTTGGAATGTCTACTTTCACACTATACTTCTAACGTCTCCCACCGAATGCTGAAATGTTATTTACTAATTAAACCTTGACCTGTCTAGAGTTATTCGTTATATTTCCTGCATAGCTCCATGAACTTCAATTGTTACCATTTCTTAAGCTCATACGACACCATACAGTAACCCTCTACCATGAGTGGCTCTTGGGCCTTGTATTGAGTGTACATTAGTATAAAAAATAGAAGCATATGTAAATATTGAAGGTATCCATACTGTAGGTCATAAGGTAGGAAATGGTGCCAAGCAGGGAAATATTCTTGGGCAGATATTGTTTTCTCGATATTTGTTGGCTAATGCACTTAAGGATTGTAGCAATGTAATTTATGTGCAATATATAACAACAGGTATATTGTTCAATCATAGTGGAATTAATTGCCAAAGCCCAAAACTTTTACAGCTATAATAAAAGTTATACTGATGACTGATTATGTCATCCATAAAGACAGTAATATGCAACACTTAAAGATCAAACGTATTCTGCAAAGATTTCGGGCTTTATATAAGTTTGTATAAGACCGTGGTGATGTATCAACCAGTGCCAACTAATTTGTATTATGAGCCGAAGATCTGAGACAACATTAAGCTTAAAGTTATGAACAAACGTCCGCACCTAGAAAGCACTTTGAATCGCCTTGTTCTTTTGATGAAGAGATAACGATCCGCATCCAAAAAGGCTTTTAAGAATCTAGGCGATGTTTGGGCAGATAGAGACATTCAAGATATACTAAAATTTTGGTTTATATAGGGTGCGGACTTACGAACACTGAAGTTAAGTAACGTCGAATCTGGTCAGTGCCTATATGGGTGACCGCTTGGTAATATCAGGCACAGTAATTTTGAATATGCGGTTGGTATGGCCTACGGCACGTTGGAACACCAAATTAAAAAAAATATATTTTTATCAAGATTTTCTAAAAAAGAAATGTTTTAGAAATAATTTAATTCATTTATGAATAAGTCCTGAAAGTTCCATTACAATCTAGTAATTATTTTAACTTTGCAAGAATTTCCAAGTCAATGTGCTTTTCACCGCAAAAAGACGCTAAAATGTCTATAATAATTTATGATCAGCAGCTAATACTAATAGATAGATAAATAAATAAATAACCAAAATTTCGAAGTTTCTAAAGAGGATTACAAAAACTTAATTTAATAATAAAAAAATTCTTTAGTTTTTCTTCTTCATAAATTTTTTGACGATAAAACTTTGTTTTAATTAAGTTCGGAGCATTTTTGATAATGTATTTAATTTGTAGCAGTTAGTTTACATTATTATTAAATAAGATCTATATTTACTTATCATATTCTTCAGCGAATTTATGGAGAGATATATATATATATATATATATATATATATATATATATATATATCAGTAACAGATTCAAATCCTCCGAAATAAGAAAAATTCTCATCAACAATACCAAAATCATCTGCAAAAACAAATGCAAAAAAAACGCTTACAGATTCTTGAAGCCATCATAATTAAAAACCAAAACTCAACATAAATAAAATAGCATTTAATACTGGCAGAAACATCTTAAACATATTTAATAACTAATCCTCCAAATAATAAACATCAACTCCAATCTTATTAATAATGAACTATCCAGCAACATCGTCAAAATACCCCAAAATATTATCTCTAAAACTAAAATAATGAGGAACCTATTTCAAATCAAACATCCAGCCATGATGATGGTTGACGACAACCGAAAGCGCTCGGCAAAACACCAAGGACTAGGGTCTTTTTTCAGCAACTTAGACCCAAATATTAAAAAAAACTTGCGAGAAAGAAAGAAAAAACAGAAAAAATAGATTATTAAACGGAAATTTTTCGTAGTCTTTAACAACATACGCCACAATAATATATATATATATATATATATAGCTGGTCAACAATTTGAACATTGCCAGCACGCTAAAGCCCTCGGCCACAATGACTTGTGACTTCGTGCTAGCACAGCTATCGACGACCCCCAAGAGTTCTGTCTACCCAATGTCATTAAATAAGGCTGGGTTTAGGCACTTTTCAAAATTACCTCCCGTCCGGTAACATCAGGAAGTACCCTTCCTGACAAATCGACCTTATGATGAGAATTAGATAGATAGATAGATAGATAGATATGAACAGATTGAGATAGATATAATGAGAATGAAACAGATATGATGAGAATTTTCTTGATCTATCCACTACCCTTTTCCTCATCCTTTCTTCTATCACTCCTAGTGGCTTCTCGCATTGTTTGGGGTGAAACGCTTAAAAAAAAAGAAGATTGATAGATAGATAGACAGACAGACTTAGAGAATCCAACTCTCATTCTGTTAAATTCTAAATCCAATCTTGTAACTGTCTGTGTGAGTTGCAGAATCTAAATTGCTCGATCGATTATTTTGATTATTGGCTCCGAATCGTCTTCTATTAAGGTTCCTTTTAGCTTTATTTATACATTAAATATCAATATATATCACATAAGCATGGAGGATATCATTGGGTGTACCAGGCTTTTTGCAGTTACTGCTGCTTGGGTGTTAACGTAGCTGTAGGAGAGTGAGGCTGTTTGAGTGTTCGTTTATTTACTCTTTCCTCAGTCAACTATCGTGGCATTCTGGAGCCAAGACATTGCTTTAATATCTAGCGAAGATCGTCAGTAAATATCTAAGAATATGATTACGCAATTTATGGGCGTACATCGCAAATGAAAGATGATAAGAGCCTAGCAGCCGATCTCTTCTTCTACCTGGCTTACGACCGTTTCACGTTGAAACACCGGTTCTCTTACATTCACAGAAGTTAAGCAACGTGTCCAGTATCTAGATGGGTGACCGCATTGAAATACCAGGTGCCATAAGCTTGGATGTGTGGGTGTTACGTCTTACAGCATTATCACGTTGAAATACTCGTTCTCGAGCGATAAGCGTAGTAACATCGAGCCTGGTCAGTATTTAGATGGGTGACCGCTTGGTAATACCATGTGCTGCAAACTGGGATGTGCGGGTGGTGTTATGGATAATGGCTCGGAATTGGAAATCGGAGAACCGAGTTCCAATTCCTGTCGGGTTTTTTATATTCATGTTATACTGGAACACACCTATTCTATTGTTAATAGACTCTCCCACCTATAATAAGTAGTAGTAGTAGCAGTCGTGAAGTCGCTGAGTGAGTTGGTCAGTCAGTCGATGTCGGACATTAAAGTATCAGCCACCGCAACTAGATTGCTGTATCATTAGCTATTATACCAAGTTCCTAACGTTTTGTACGTCGAACCTTTTTTAGGACCGACTTAGTGAAATCCAAGCCTCCACTGTGAAACTACTCTATAACAATCCACTTACGCGCAAATACCCTTGGGAAAGGCATGAACCCACCTCTTTATCCCTCAGCTATGGGTTAATTAATAGAACTTGTGTTAGTAAATAATTATAAATTTCCTAAAAGGTCTTGCAATCTAAAATTATTTTCTGGCTTTAAATAACCTGAAAAATGTTGATAAGTTGTTCAAATTACTCTCCTTTGACTGATATTACTTATCTAAACGACTCTTCCGGTTTTCTACACGGTGAGAATAGCACTTTCGATCGATAACAGTAATGCTACCCTAAACCTCCCACTTATTGCAGGAACACTTGAGGAAGATTAGAGAGTAGATCGACCGAAACATTATGATAAAACACTCCCCCCCCCCAAAAAAAAGAAGAGGAAATTGGTTCAAAAGAGACAAGTGTATTGTGTTTTTATTTGTAAGTGAATGAAATGGAATTAAATGGCCCATAACTAAATTGAAAAATTAAGCCGTTTATTAATCCATTGGGAAACCCAGGGTTGGGGCGAAAGTAGAGGCCTGCTTCCGTTGGCAAATTTGGTGGGACGGCATTTACCTGACTTAGTATGATGAAGTAGCGTTCAAAATCATTTGTGGCATTTTTTTTATCTCATTCCAATTGTGCCATTTTTGTCTCATTCCAATTGTGCTATTTTACTATCATTTCAACTGTGTCATTTTATCTCTTATTCCAATTTACTCTTATTCCAATTATGCTATTTTTTATCTAATTCCATTTGTGCCATTTTTGTCTCATTCCAATTATGCTATTTTTGTCTCATTCCAATTGTGCTATTTTACTATCATTCCAATTGTGCCATTTTTTGTCTCATTTCAACTGTGTCATTTTATCTCTTATTCCAATTTACTCTTATTCCAATTATGCTATTTTTTATCTAATTCCATTTGTGCCATT